TTCTAGAACTAGGGTTTAGGGTGTAGGGCCTTTCAGCTTGGGTGGTTCGATTCTTTGTTTTTGTCAGGCTTTCGAGGTGGGGGCTGTTGGATTTGAGATCTTGAATCCAAGCAGGGGCTCGTGCCGCACTGCCTGACATCCCTGATTTTCTCAAAGACCCCCACGGGGGCCTGGAGCCGAAGAAGCGCGTGAGGGCATGGGGCTGCCCGCTCACGCAGTCCCTGCGCAGAGAGCTTTTGGTGCTGGCACTTTTTTGTGGAGGCTCTCGACATGCACTGGAGGGCAAGTACCCCAGGCCCATGAAGCACACATCCGAGGGCCTGTGCATAGTCATGATGAACTTGGTGTAGAGCGGCATGAACAGCAGAGACCGGATCATGGCATCGTTGAGGTTCAGCGACGTCAGCCTTTCCCGCTAGGATCCCCAGGAAGATCCCCGAAGAAGACAGAAGCAGCCGACCGACCTGAGTCCCAAGGTGGCGTAGCTTGCGAGGAAGAGCCAGAGGGGATTCTGCGGCCTCCTCTCCTCATCCAGCATGACCTGAGCCCAGGATGCGGACAAATTCAGGGCTTATAAGGATTATAGGGACCCCCATGGAGGCAGACAGATGCTGGTTTTCCTGGCAGCTGTGCTCTTCCAGCGGCTCCGAAACCCTACTGTAAACCCAAATGCCCAAAGCCCTGAGGTGATGCGAGCATACACTCTGGAAAAGATCACATCATGTCTACTCCGTTGTATTCCACAGTATACTGTCGCTCCAAAACGGTACAGGTTGAGCTACAGATTACGTCATGGTTCCGATATCTTTCGATTGCGGATATTACAAGTGTGCGAGTATGCATGAGTACGCTGCAGGCTGGTCTATACTCAACCCTGCGGCTAGAGGCCAGACTCACAGCGGCTTTTCCTGGGCTCGCCGGCTCTGGAGCTCCCAAAAGCGTGTGGGGATCTACCAAAGGTAGGAATCGGTGCCCCGGACAGGCTCATTGCTGATCCGGAGGCCATGCTGTCTCTATGACCTTCGCGATTCCGAAGTAGCTTCTGCCCGGGCCGGCCTCCCTCAGAACTCGCGGTCAGCGGATTGGGCGACACTTCCGGATACTGGACTGGCAACGGGCCGAGCAGCACTGGGCATCAATCCAGCAGGAATGATTGATCCTAAAACATCTTTTGCCCACCTTAAGCTGAGCAAGCTCAAAGGCTGTCTGATTGATGGTACCATACTCCAGGTGCAAGTTCGCAGTCTCGGTGACGGCCACGATCTCTGTGTCAAGCCCACTTACGATGCTCACAAGCAGTAGCAACCACCTCCCTAGGCCGGACATTGCCATGGCTCTTCACTTTTCTCAGGGCACCGCGCTACCTTCAAAGCGCAGCTTGGGCCACTGGTGAAAGGCGGCACACAGACAGAGGGTTGCAAAACCACCACATGGCGACATTCGGAACTCGAGTGATTTCAGCGACTTGCAGCTGCGACATGACACGACACGAAGGTCTGCTCGGCTTCCGACATTTCGCGCCGCCACAACACCTTCCTCAGCTTGGGTTCCGTTGTTCGGGGCCGGGGTGAATCATGTTCCCACTTACAGCTCACGTCAGCACGACATCCAAGCTTCCTACTGCGCTCAAGGTCAAGTCTCGGTGATCTCCACCAGAGCCGAGAAGGGGTGGAAGCGGGTCACGTTCCAGAGATACGGATGCGTCGGCTTCTCCTTGTACCCTCCGCAGCAGTAGAACTTCCAAGCCTTGCAAGATCCAAAAGCCCTCTCTTCCCCCCTCGATGGGCAGCGCGCGCCTGAGAGTAGGAGAGCTTCTGGAGCAGCGACACGGCACAGAGCCCAGCGTAGAGCTTGCCTCAGCTCACTGAAAAGACCACCTCCGGATACGAGCCCAGCAATGGGCCCCAACAAACATCACAGCACGGAAGCTGCCCTGCAGGTCCAACCCCACCGGATTCTGGTCCAGAAGTCTTGCCTGCACGCATCCTCAGTCCCTGACCGAAACACCTCGTAGACACCAAGCCCTAAACCCACAGCACCAAAATCCGAAAGCCAACATTAGGGTTTAGCGTTTAGGGTTTAGGGTTTAATGGGTTTTAGGGTTTTTAGGGTTTAGGATGCTAAACTCGACAGAAGCACTGAAGACCTATAAGAGAGCCCTTTCCCGACATCCTCAGACTCTCCGAGCGGCTAAGGCCGTCCTTGCTTAGCCGGGACACCTGACTTAGGGTTTCAGGATGCCCAGCAGTTCAGGAGGATGAGGACCTGTATAAGGGTTCGTAGGAGCGTCGTAGCGGGAATCAGTGTCTTGGGGGTTGGGTTTTCGGGTTTCGGGCTTAGGGCATAAGATTTAGGACTTAGGGTCGGCTGCGGCACTGAGTTGGCACAGGGTCATGGATCCATCTTTCGGCCAGGTGGACACAGCATCAGCGGAAGAATCCCAGGCCGAAATCCGAAACACGCCACGGGCGTCAAATGCTTCCGAAGGCTGCAAGCCTGCGGAAGGACAAAGGTAGGCATCGTAAGGTTCGCAAACGTCAATGCCGAGAGGAACCTTACTCGTTCCAAGGTCACAGACGCGGCAAACTAAGTCGGATGGACTTTCAGACTCTCCTGTTGCACTGGGTTCGCATGGCAAGACCTATCAACGGTTGATGCACGCCTCAGTTTCACGCTCAACATCAGTTCAGCTGCGAGCACACGGAACTCCTCTCAAGTGGTCGGAATTCCTATCCACCGACTCGCTTGGAGAGACCTGCAAAGCACGACAGACCTCCCAGCACAAAGCTGATTTCCCTTCGCGCAGTTATCTCCGTTCTCACACCCTCCAAGAATCCCAATCTGAAAAGCCTCCATCTTCCAAAAACCCGGACCATGAGACGCCGAAAGAGCCGCAAACTTGGTACGAGCGGCCAGGTCGGTGGGTTCCAGATCTCAGCCGCAGAGGGAAACCAGGCCTCGCAGCGAGCGGGGCGCTTGGGGGTTGTAGGCGCTTCTGCCTTCTCGTTGGTCTGGACGGGTGGGAGGTCGGGGACCGGTCCTGCAACAAGAAGTAATTGAAGAAGGCGTGCAGCGACGTCGTCTTCCAGGAGTTCTTCATCCACCTGTAGAGTCTTCAGTTGGGAAACATCCAAATCGCGTGCGAAGAATTCAGAGAATCTGGCATGTGGCACTGCGAAGTATGGATTGTACGCCAACAATTTCGTTCTCCAGTCCTTCTCTCAGTCTCAGGCACCGAGGGTGAGTTAGGCACCCCTGCCTCCAAGGCCCGTGCTGCAAACCCGTTCTCTCTCACCAGGACAGAGGGGGCAACCTACCCCCCCTCGTGCGCGGACGCGCACCTGCAAGTCCCGGCAGGTTTTAACAACTCCAATGCAGGGTTTCCCCCCGTCGGCTCGGCTATACAAGGGCTGGTCGACTCGGACTCTTCTTCAACTCAGCCAAAGGGGGAGCTGGCAGGCCCTCCCTTGTGCACGCGTGCGCCCTGGTCACAAGTTCGGTCTGATCGACTCGGACTCTCTCTCTTTCTTCCGGTTTTATTCTTCGTCAGGGCTAGGGGCAAGGGGAAGCACCCCTAGAGTCCTCTCTCTCTCTCTCCTCTCTCCTCTCGTCTATAGAGGAGAGGGGTGCGCTGTCCTCACGCCCGTGCTCCCCGAATTTTCCAGCGACTACAAACCGTCTCCAGAAATCGTGCGACCGCCCTGGGCATCTGTTGAAAGGAAGGCACAGGACGCAACCTCCTGCTGCTGTGGTTACTGACACAAGAAGTTTGTAGAAACTCGCACGGGGCAGGCACAAAGGCCAGCATAGGCCTGTCGATCAAGATGAACATGGGCGCAAAGGCGGACGACACTAAGAAATGCAGCGGATAGTAGCTCATCACCTTGCAAAGAGAGGCACAGGTGTGAATGATGCCGAGAGCTGCAGCGTTCCGCCAGCATTCAACCCGGGGGCCTTCTGCCAGAAGAAAAGCTCTGGCTTCCTAAGCTTCTGCACGTTGTGGCTTCGCTCGCCCATGTTTGTAGTCACGTAGGCCATCACATAGCCGGAGATGCTGAAGAAGCCACCCACAAGAACGTTCTCCTCGGGGTCAGGGACGAGCAGCAGACCCGAGAAGCGCACCCACAATCAAGACAAGTCCTGGGTCAGGAGTTTCAGCAGCCACTTGTTGGAGGTACCGAAACGAATGAAGTGACCGATGATGATGGGCAGGACCAGGGCGAAGCGGCATCCGTCAATGCAGTCGATTCGAGGCTTGGAGACAGGCTTCTTCGGGTCCTGGCATGCGCACGAGTCTCCTAAAAAACCTGTGAAACGTCGACCACTTGCGACCCGACCCCGTGCCCAGGCCACGGCCTTCACCACGAGGGCTCTGCACGGCTTGTCGTTCAGCATCTCGGGCTCTGGGCTCGCCACGTTCTCGCAGTTGGCCGGCATGGCTTCGCCCAGCGCTCTGTACGAGGCTCCGACAAGCGTTCAGGATGCTTTTTGAGGCTCAAAGGAGCTAGAAAGGGCACGGGGCCGAGCCACATGGAGGTGCAATGCAGGTGCAAAGGGCATGTTCCTCCCCCGAGATTGCCCGTGAATCGCAAGGGCCCCGGCGCAGGGAGCTCTAGGTGCTGGCACTCCACACTCCGGGAAGCAACGGCACGAGCGAACTGGGCCTGCAGGGCCTCCGAGGAGGCTATGTCACTACCAGTAGGTGACGGCTCCAAAAAAGGCTCTTGGGGTTCTGTCCCTCGGTAACAACTTTATGCTTTTTGCTTGTCAATCAGCTTGGCTTTGCCACTTGCTGCTGCGGCCCTCTGGCATCGCTCCATGCTTTCATTTCATGTCACATCTCGGGCCTGAAGCTTTGAGCCACCAATCGGCCGGGACCGGCTGGAATATCACCTCAACCGCCTCAAACTAAAAGGCGATTAGCCTGGCCCTCCAGTGCCCAGGCACTCAAGGATCCACACTCTCTAGAAGACAGCGCGGTGAAACGAGCAGAGGTGGACTTCTCGAGAGAGTAGATGGACATCTCGCTGCTCTCAATCTCCCCGGCTGCCTCGCGGGTAACTTGAAAAGCGATACGTAACCAAGAACGTGCAGAGCTGTGAGGAACCCCATCCCTGTGAGTTTGGCGGAAACTGCTCAGCCAGGCCAATGCTTTCGCGAAACTCTGCAGTGAAAATGGCCTTCACTTGCAGTGAGCCATCACATTGAGGTCCGGACATTCAGAAATAGCTTCACGAAGCGGCCAAACCTGCAACGGAAGTAGGTTTCAGACAGAACCTGTTGAAACGGCTTGGACAACAGCCTTCAAGGCCGGTCTCACTGACCACCTAAGACCACCTCGGAAGAATGAGCCTTCTTACAGGGTTTAGGGTCATAAACCCTAAACCCTAAAGCATAGGGCTTTATGACCAACCCTTAGGGTCAAGCAAGGGTTTATGACCCTAAACCCTAAATCCTAAACCCTAAACTAAACCCTAGTCTCCTAAACATTCCCAGGAATTCATGCCCGGCGCTCCCCGAAGCGCGAAGCCTCGAGGAGTTGTCGTTTCGCAGGGTACGGGCGTTGCCCAAAGCCTCGTGAGCAGGCTTCTGTCGGACCTCGTCCTCCTCACATACTGAATATAGTACATTATCGTACAGTACATAGAACAAAATATCATGTATCATATCTATGTCAGACAATACGTTAGATTAGAACAGTGTGTAGCATCAATCAAGAAGCAGTACCGGATCCCAGTACATGGCCTCCGTCACGGGGTTGGCGCTCATCATGATCTGGTGGATGCCGGCCTCGCACAGTGCAGAGCATCTGACACGGCCGCACATGGCACTAACCACTCACCATTTGCAGCGCTACTGCTCGCACGACCAGCAACCTCATGATCATGCTACACTGAGATCCTTCGGTTGCAGCATTGCGACCAGTACCACAGACCACAACTGTCAAAGCCCGAAGACTGCCAGAACCCTGATACTGATAATCGCAAAATAACGCCGCGATAATCACCGACATCAAAAACATCAGCAAAGACAAGACTTGCTATGCCCCCTCATCCGAAGTCTTTATCCAAGTCTCAAGGTTTTTTCTACCTGTCTGACCTTCGATAAAATGTGACTGCACGCGAATGCAATGCTAGTGCCAGTGCTGGTGGGTGAAGAGACTTTAAATCCACGAAAAAGAACGTGGAATGCGCTGGGAAATTTAGAGCAAGCTGGTTTGGCAGTGATGGTGGTACCAACAACGCGTGCCGGGTATCTGGTGACGTCTTTGAGACAGTACAGCGTCCTTTTGGGCAGCCGCCTTCTCGCCATCTTGCAAGCCGAGGCTTGCGTTGGCATCCAACCTGCCACCCAAAAAAAAACTTGAACAGCTTCTCCGCACCCCTAAACCCTAAACCCTAAACAGAGGCGCCCCAAGAACAGCTGCTGCCTGCCATTCTGCAGGCTGACAGAGCTGGAGCGGGCCCGTCCTTGCCTCCATTGCAGGCGACTGCAAGCAAGCTGATATGGGTAGTTCTCTAAATTAGGGTCCCTTTTGGATCCCCAATGTAGTACGGCACCCTTATGAAAAGGACTCTAAAAAAGGACCCTATTTTAGAGAACTAAAGTAATGAATACCCACAGAACGATGCTGATGCTGATGGTGATGATGATGATGATGATGATGATGATGAGAATGATGAACAGTCAGTTTTGAAGACGACAAGGGTGATGATCCATGCAACGGCATCCGCCACCATCACCTCCTCCGCCTCCACTCGTCGTACAATCACAACAGCTTCCAGCATTCAGCAGATTCTGCTTGGCTTGAACCGTCAACTGTACCACGATGACGACAGAATACACCTCAATGCAATGTCATCCTCACCATCACCATTCCGATCAGCGTACAAATCACGATCTGGTACGAGCACTGCTGGGACTGCGACCACCATCACCACTGCACCACGAGCGCGTCTACAAGCACTGCACATCCGAGGAGACTGCGAATCTTTCTAAAACTGCATAGCTTCAAATTATCAAGTCTTTGCGACATGAGCCCACCCCAGCATGCAAGGCCGAGGGATCAGAAAGCTCGCCTGGCGGCGGACCTCAGCGAAGCAAGCGGGAACGGACAACGCGCACATTGGCACATGGTGAAGATTATCTTCCTACCATGCTGCACGAGCACGATAAGAAGTAGCAAACATCGAAAACCTGAACACCACACCTGTCCCGGTCTCCGAACTATCCAAAGCAGCAGCTCCCGAGCTGAAAGCTTCCATGACGAGATGCTGCCGCGTAGGTGATGAGAAGTACAGCATCACGTGCTGCACAAGTGTCGAAGGCTGTGACAGCTCCACTTTTCGTCTCTGAACTGAAAGCCCTGACTTCCGGCCTTCGCTGTCTCCGTCTTTCCGGCACCACTTTCTCCCTGATGACAAGCATGAGGGTCATAACAGCACAGCGACTTGTCTTTCTGAGCGGTCCATGCTTGCAGGCATACAACGGAGGCCTGAATCACGAAGGAGACGCTTTGCCTCGTTTCGGACATGCTCACAAGTGACACTCCTTTTGGCCGGGGCTGCGGCTTCTGGCCTATCTCAGTCTCAGTCTCAGGCCCAGTTCTGCGGATGTATCCCCAGGCCTGGATTGCAGAACGGAGTGAACACGAGTGGCAGCTCGACCCCCCAAACACACCGCTCGAAATTCGACATTCGCGGCTCCACTGCTCTGAGGCTTGCACATCCCGACATGCAGCCCAGATGTGAGGCTCTTCAGAGCTGAATGCTCCAGAACCTCTCTGTCTCTTCATATCCGAAAACGAGTTGAAAGGCTTAGACTTCCCCGTTGCTTTGGGCATGGAAGCATTTGGGGGAATCTGCTCTGCTGTGGAACACTCGGGATTGGGGAGGCGAGGAGTGCAGTTCGGTGAGCATGTCCTATTGTATGTTTCTGATCGTCGAGGCTAAAGCAATCCACCATGTGAAGAAGTCACGGTCTCGGAGTGATGTGCCGTTTACGGTGAGTACATACGGGCCCCAATAATCTTACAGGGACGATCAGTCGGAATCAGTGACATCCACCTCAAACCGGTCCCTTGCCCGGCATCCGCGACAGCCTTCAAGCTCGTCGACCCGCAGACATGCCTGGAAGGCTGCCAGGAGGTCGGAAATCCGTGCCGGAGATCATGATGGAAGAGCTGTTTTGCAGTGAAGCTCGCCGAGCCACGAAGCGGGAATTTCGGAAAAAAACACAACAGAGCATGTGTTTCACAAACGACGGTGCCTTGTAGAATGGCAAAATGCTAGGATCTTCAAGACAGGGAACTGGCCTCGGCGAGACGCTGTGGGAAAGGGCTGCACTGGTCACTGAATTTCATATACAACGTTGCACCGAAATAAAGCCAGCTCACCACATTGCCAAGCCCAGGTCCTCCTGCTCCCCTCGAAATCACCTCGGGTCGGGGCCTGAATGGATTGCACACGACCAGGGACTTCAGCGCGCCGTACGTGTAGATGTCCTCCGCCACATGCCGCTGATTGCAACAAGCCGATGAACGATGCTTCTTCAGACGATGGGAGCAAGTGGAAGCATCGTGAAACAATCAGAATCAAGCAGAATGGTAACACTTATGGGTAACTGTCAAAATCATGGTCCCTTTGAAGAACCCTATGTAATTCCTTTCCAAAATCGCCATCCTACAGTTTGGCAGACCATGAGGGCCCCCAGTTTGGAGAACCACCCAGCTAAGTATCGGCCATGTCATCATGTCACGAGTAGAGCTAAGCGCAGTCGAAGAAGAGACAATAATTCAGGAGCATCACCGTCACAACTAAAATTCTAAACCCTACAAAAATAAACTTGCCATCGCAACAACCTACAGTTAGCACAACCGCAAGAGCGATGGCGATCAAGAAACAGACGACGAGTCATCAAAAAATACTGGCACAAGCACAACCAAGACAACGACCACCAAAACCGCAAGCATACCTTCAACAAGAGTATCAGAACAACCACTCACAACCCATGCCACTACCAATACATACAGAAGTGACAAACGGAAAAACTCTAGGAAGCAGCTCGTCAGCTAAAGGACCAAGAACGAGATTGACATCGAGTCGCTGACAACCGACCTCCTGAGCAAAACGGGCTCGGAGAACTTTGAACACCGACCTCATCATCGTCGATAGCAGCATGGAAGGCTGCACGCTTCAGAACTGAAAGCAAGGGAAGACTGTGACTGTCAGCAGAGGTTGTGTCACAAACACAAGCGGCCGTTGCCCTCGATTCCACAAAACTGGAGCATTTCCAAGAACATACCGAAGGCAAGCTGGGGCTGTGGCGCATCTGAAGGGCGAATAAGAGAACTAAGCAGCCTGCACCATCGTGCACAAGCCAAACATTACATTCTGAAGCAAGAAAGCCAATTTCGCCGAATCCAACGAAACACTTTGAGGTTCACACTTTGTTTCGACTGCGCTGGCCGCATCCTCGTCAAACTCGGGCCTGGTCTCACCCTGCGGGACGTTGCACGTACGACAGATTTCCACTGGAAATGGAAGGCTTTAGGTCGCAACGACAAACGACCTCTTTCAATGCCTTGTTGCATCACGTGCTGGCAGCAACACCAAACAAACACTCGAAACACTGTTGAAGAATTATCTGCCCAACATTCCAACTCGAACGTCAAATCCACTCACAAGCGCAGCGAGCCTCTTTGGGGTTGCCCAAAGCGGATGCAAGCCAAGCATCGCCCCCTTGACTGGAGTTTGCCTTTTGGCACGAGAGTGCGCATTCAATGCCTTGAAAACAAACATGCCTTCATTATCATTGCTGACACTGTACAACTCCCGGGGCCTTGTGCGAAGCGAGGGACTGGCCCATCGCTGTCAAGCATTAGCGCTCATAGCAATGTATGACATGCAGCGGGAAACCACAATGCGTGATGATGCAAAACAACATGCAACATTCTGAAGCCGACAAAGATTATAGTGCAATAGTATGGGAAATGGTCGCGATTGAGTACTTGTCATCATCAAGAGGTGACTTGAAGCAGGCGGTAGCATTTGAGCCTTTTTTGGCTCTTCAGCACTCTGGCAAAAAACAACCACAGCCCGCTGTGGCCTTGTTGTGGCCTGTAGAAGCGAGAATCGATGGGCCAAGCTTGCGTGCACAATCCGAACTGATTGCTGAAATGCTTTTCAGACTCTTAAGGAACTGGAGGTATCTCGAGATAGCATCCACGAACATCGTTTCGATCTCATCCACAGCGCGGCGGGACAACCGTGACGGACGTCGTGCACAAAACGATGGTCAGGGAAAACCGTGACGGACGTCGTGCATAAAACGATGGTCAAGGGTTCTCTATACAAGTCTCTGTGACGCGCAATCGCGCCGCAGGTCGTTGAAGCGAATGTCAAGGCTATCTACACAAGATATCCTGAGGCTAAACGGCGAAGGGGGTGTGAGGGAGGGGGCCGCCTTGGTCCCTGACTCAGACAGCCCCCACCAAGTGAGGTATGGTTGCATGTAATCTAGCACTTCCGCTGACGCATGCTTAAGGAAAGATTGGATGCCAAGGAGCTCCCCCTCCCACAGTACATTAAAAAGGGTCTCTGCTACAGACTCTGAGACAACGGCAGCAACAATAGGGTGTAGCTGAGCTATGAAAATGAAC